TATGATTCCTTTAGAGTTAATTATTATGTATGATGTCATATGACCTATGGATTGAAATTTTTGCATATTAATATCTAGTTATTTCAGTGCCATTTGTTAAAAAGACTTTTTTCAGTACTGTGTTGGCTTTGCACCTTTGTCAAAAATTAGTTGTCTATGTAAGTGAGGTTCAAATTTGGTACTATCTATTCTGTTCCATTAGTCTACTTATCTTTACACTAATGCAACACTGTCATGAGCATTGTAGCTTCATAATTAGTTTTGAACTCAGCGTTAACCCCTGAATACTGCATTTTTGCGAAGTTATTTTAGCTCTTCTAGTCTTACTCATTTCTGTGTAACAGAAATAATTTACCAATCTTTACCAAAATCCAGCTGGGACTTAATTATAGTTACTCTAGCAATATATTTGGAGAGAAATAAAACTTTACCATGGCTGAGTCTTCCCACCCACCAATAAAGTATATTGTTCCATTTGAGTTAGGATGTTTTTAACTCTTCTCAGCAATGTTTCATAGTTTTTATTGTAGAATCCTAAACATCTTGGTTGGACTTATGCCTAAGTTACATCTCTTTAAATGGCATTATTGAAAATTTCAACTTGTAGCATTCTGTTGTTAGTATCTAGAAATATAATTATACATATATATATATATATATCATATCTAGCTTATGCCTAGTAATTCTAGAAGCTTTTAAAAAAAGATTTCTGTGAATTTTCTCTATAGATGATTATTTCATTTACAAGCATAGTTTCATTTTTCCATCCAATCTGATGGCTTTTCTTTTTCTTGTCATACTTTATTGGCTAGAACTTCCAAAACAATGCTGAACAAAAATAATCAGGATTAATTTTTTTTTTGCTGAGATAAAGTCTCCCTCTGTAGTACAGGTTGGCTTGGTTACTCTGTGGCACAGGCTGGCCTGGAGCTCATGGCAATCCTCCTACCTTGCCCTCCCAACTTCTGGGATTATAGGGGAGTGCCACCATGCCCAGGGCGAACATTCCTATTTTGTTCCTGTCTTAGGAAGTAAAATATGAAGTCTTTCAATATTGTAAGATTTTTCATGTGTTAAACTTTTTCTCTTGCTATCCTGCTGAGGTTTTATCCTCCCACTGGATTTCGATAATTGTCTTTCTCATTGTTCTTTTTTAGTTTGCTCATATATCGAATTGCATGATTAACTTTTCAGTGTTAAGTTATCCTTGGATCTCTAAGAGGATCTTACCTGGTGATAAAATATTATCTTTATGTATTGTTGGATTAGTTTTGAAATATTGTTCAAGATTTCTGAATCTAGGTTCATGAGTTTATAATTATGAAATGACCTTATCCCTGGGAAAGTTCTTTCCTCCAAATCTCCTTTGTCTTACAGGCGACTCCAGCTTTCCTTTAATCAGTGTTAGCATGCATGGATCTTCTATTCTTTTTCTTTAATGTATTTTTATTTTCATATTTAAAGTATACTGATTGTACTCAGCCCCTCCTTATCTGCAATTTTGCTTTCCACAGTTCAGTTACCCAAGGTCTACCGTGAACTGAAAATGTTAAATGGAAAATTCAAGAAAGAAACCATTCATACATCTTAAATGACTTTTGTTACAGTGTATTGTTATAATTGTTTCACTTCCTAGGAGTGGTTGTAAACCTCTAGCTATTCCTAGTTTACGAATTAGTCTTTATCATAGGTATGTATGCATAGGGGAAAACAGCACAGAGAGCTTGGGTCTCCCTATGGTTGTGGGCATCCATTGGTGGGCTCGGAACATGTTCCCAGCAGACCAGGAGACATGGAGCATGGCCAAATCTTGCTCACTTCATCCCATCTGACAAGCCCCACTGACTGAAGTCATCAGACTGCACTTTACAAGATCATGAACAGTTTGCAGGAAGCTTCACATCTTAATGGCTATTTGTCACATCTTGTTTTGTTTCCTCTTTTTTTTTTGGCAGAACTGGGGATTGAACTCAGGCCCTTGCACTTGCCAGGGAAGTGCTTATTCCACTGAGCCATCTCACCAGTCCCCTTCCTCTTCCTTCTTTTGAATTGGTAGAGTATATTCTGAATCTATTTAATTTCCTTTACATGCTTATAAACTGTAACTATTTGCTGTGTTATTTGAGGGTTCATAATATGTATCTTTAACTTATCACTGTTGACCTTCATGTGATTTTTATGCCATTTTACATATAGTATAGTACCATTCACCCTTCCAGCCAGTATGTTATTCTTCTATATATTTTACTTCCACCTGTGTTACAATCCCACAGTATAATTCTTAAGTTGTCAATTATCTTTTAAATAAATTTAAATAATAAGGAAAAAGCTTTTATGATACTCTGATACCCACGTGTTCACCATTTTCTGGGCTCTTAATTCCCTTGTGTTGATCGAAATTTTTATTGGGCATCATTTTCCTTCTGCCTCAATGAACTAGTGTTTTTGTCTTCGAGTGGAGGTTGATGACAGGGACTTCATTCAACTCTTGTTTCCATAAAAATAGTTTCGCCTTTTTTTAATGTTGAGCAGCCAGAATACCATGGCTTATCATATCTGAAGAAAACTTCATAATTCAAACATAATCCAACTGTACATTTTAAAATTGCCCTCTGTTTGCTTTGCTTTTGTTTTTGATTGACTTTTTTTCCCTGCATTTTAAGAAAGGGTCTACAGGGTGTTCAGGGCCTTACTACTAGATCGGACTTGTAGTGATCTGCCTATTTACAGCCTCCCAAGAGCTGGGATTACAGGTGTGCGTCATCATGCCCAGCCTCAATTGCCATCTCAGTGCACCCTGGGGGTGGGGCCAGCACAGCAGGCTTGGGGATCAAACGCCTGGCCCCTGCGCCTGCTTGCAGGTGCTTTAATTTGCTGAGCTATTTGGCCAGCCTGAGTGACTTTGTTTTACTGAACAGAAGATACTTCACTTGATAGAAGACATTTTCTCTATAGAACTCATATAGATTTCTAGGTTGACACATTGCTTTCAGTTCCTTGAAGATGGTAATTCAGAGTTCTGGTGAAGGCAGGAACCAGAAATCTGCTGTCATCCTTACATTTGTTTTTTGATGGTTGGTTTTGAGATTTTTGTTGTATTGTAGGTTTTTGAGAAACTTGATTACCACGTGCTTTGATGTTGTTTCTTCGTGCTTCTCGTGGTCTGAGTTTGTTGAGCTTGGATCAGGGGGTCATTTTCATCAACTCTGCAAAAATTTTAGTCATTCTTCCTTCAAAAAATTTTCTCACTTTCCTTTTGTTTTTCCTATTGGATTCCACTGACCCATATATAAAGTTATCTAAAGTTCTCACATAGCACCAATTTTTTTTTGTTTGTTTTACAATTTTTTCTTCTGTACGCCATTTGAAATAGTTGGTCTTATCTTCATGTTCACTAACTTTTTCCTGTAATGTCCAATCTGTCCAAAATACCCAATATATTTTTCATCTCACACTTCATAGTTCACATCTCTAGAAGTTTGATTTGGGTCCTTTTTAAGCTTTCTGTGTCTCTACTTAACTTTTTGAACATATGGTGCCTAACTGTAAGTATTCACCGCTTTGCTGATTCTAACAACTGTGTCATCCTTTGTCAGTTCTGGTCTGGTTTCTGTTGATTGATTTTTTCCCCTCATTATGAGTGTGGCTACAGATTCAAAACCTTTTGTCACAGAACATCAAACTGCCTTCTAAAAATGTTTCATCATTTATCTTATCATCACCAGCAGGTGAGTGTGGCTGGCTCATCCCCCTTCTAGCAGCACTGACGTCTGTCAGTCAGTCTTTCATTCCCACCAGTCTCTAAGTTTAACACCACTATCTCTTGTGACTGATGGTTACTGTCAGCCAGTGACAGACAGTGGTGATTCTGTGGAGTGCAGGCAGCTACAGCAGCTGCCCTCATGGTGTGTACAGCCTTGTGGCATCTGTCATGCTTTTATTTACATTGTCACTGGGCCATTGATGTGAGGTGTCTAACCCCAGGTTTACTGACTATTTATATTACTTTTTTAAAGCATGTTGCCTACTATTATCCAGTGAATGCATTTAACTGTATTACTTGGATTTATAACAATTCTCTATTTTTATAAGAGGCTATTTATTAAGAATAGATATTTTCTTTTTCAATAATTAAAAAGAAGTTTTGTAAACAAGTGCATTTCCTTTAAAATAATTAACACATGTGACTTCTCTGAGGGAATGATTTACATTTGCTGAAACACTTCTTTCACTATAAATGTAAATATAAATTGATTCTGATGTAAAAACAATGCCCTTAAGGGAAAATTTTTTTGAATTATATACAAGATAGTCATGAATACATAAAATAAATAAATTCCTACTAGGGAAAAATTTTCATAAATAATCTGACATCAACATACAGTATAGATAACTTATATTCCTTAGAAATAATCATACAGGTTCTAAATACTGTTTTGCTCCCTTAATGAAGAAACAGAGCATCAGGGTGAATGAAACATTCCCTGATTACATATTTCTAGCTAGTTAAATATTTCTGGGCAAGTCAGGCTGTAAGTATTGTAAATGCTCCATGTGGAAGATCACTCACTTATGACAGCCTGAAGTCTATTCTTCAAAATGTGAAAATGTCAAAATCGCCATCATCAAACACTTGCTTACCTGCTGAGGCGGTGCAGAGCTTTCACAGGTGCGAGATACCTACTCACCTGGCTGTGAAGGTAAACATGTGGGGCGCTGCAGGCCCGATGGAGGCCGGCTCCATGAATGGCCTGGTGTCTTCAGTCTTCACAGACAGTGGGAGGTGGGCAGGGAGAAGAGGCATCTGGGGCCGGGGACAGGACTTGCAGGTATCAGAGAGCTAGAGGGCATCCACCCTCTGCATGTGATGGAGGGATCTATGCCACACACTTCACGATAAATACATCAGCCAGATAGTTTTGAAGCTGGTGATGAGAGCAGCGGCCGGCACAGCCCGAGGCCCACCCACCCAGTCTGCTGGCCTCAGCGCCCTGACTAACCTGTTTGGTGCAGATGGTCTCTTGCTACCTCAAACAAGCGCAGGTGCATGTTGGTGATGGGGTTGAAGGAGCCACAGGCCAGAAGCACCACAGGTATTCGGGTCTTCATCTTGCCAGGCACATCCACATCCCCTGCAGTGGCCACCCTGCCTCTGTGAGGAGAAAAACTCATGTCAGGGAGCTGGCTCTGAGGCAGCTGTCCAGATTGGTGTCTCTAAGCCTCATGTTGCTCACTCCCTACACCTCAATTGGAAAATGACCACAGAGGCCATATGAACAAAGGCGTTGACAGAAAGCTCACCGTGGGCCAGGGACTATGCTAAGTGCTATCTCAAGGTATGTGTCTTTTTTGTCAAATCCTCTCAACAACCCCAAGTAGTGACCTTAGAACCTTCTTGGCCAGGACTGGAATTCAGCAGACCTCAGAGCCCATGTTCTACTCTTAAACTCTGTATCCTTCCTGGGCTTTAATGAGTTAGCATGGGCTCAAAAGGAGTCTGCAAGACTCCCATCTCATCGCCTCTGATGGGCCACACAGAACTCACCCGGTTGCTCTCAGAGGAGACCGCTTTTGAAAAGTCTTTCATTGTGAAATAATTTTAGACATGTAAAAGTTACAAAAAGCATGTACAGGGAATTACAATATACTCTTTACACATATTCTCCAAATGTTAACATTTAACCACACTTTCTTGACCATTCACCATTCTTCCTACAAACACATACACACACACACACACCTCCCTATAAATGCCTACAGGTAATTTTCCCTAAAGCATCTGAGCCTGAGTGGTAGACATGATACCTCCTTACCTCTAAATACTTCAGCATGTGTTTCCTAAAAACAAAGACATTTTCTTACACAACTACACAACGATTGGAATTGGGTAGCTTACACAATTACAGGACTATTTAGATAACAAGCCTTATTCTGATTTTATCCACTGTCCTTCACCTGGGAGCAGAGCCCTCAGTGAGCCTACTCTCATTTGGGTTTGCAGTCCCCATGAGATGCTCTTGCACACCCCCTGGAGGTGGTGGGGAAGAGCTGCACTGAGGACCAGCGGCTCTGATGTGTACTTCTGCTCTTTGGTGGCTGTGGTTTCTGGGGCAAGTCGCAGCCCTTCTCTGAGCCTCAGTTTCATCACCTGTGAAATGACCCTGACAAGGGAGAAGGAGATAGCACATTTGTGGTAGGCAGCTTTAAGATGGCGTCCTGCAACCCTCACCATGTAGTGGTCACCTGTCATCTTCCCCTTCATTTTGGACTTCACCTAATAACCTGCTTCCAATGAACACTAAGTGTTGGGATTTCACCTCTGAGATAAAGCTACACACAATATGGCTCAACTCTTTCTCTCTCACACTAAATAAACCAACTGCCAAGCTGTGAGCTGCCCTTAGAGAGGCCTATGGGGCATAGGACGGAGGGAGGCCTTGCTGGCCAAAGCCAGGGGGGCCTGAACTGGCTGACAACTGTGTGTGAGTACGGAAGCAGACCTTCCGGGGATCACGTTTTCAGGTGAGGCAGTGGCCCTGTGAGTCCTGGTCGCAGCTGGTTGAGGCTGAGCCAGAGGGACAGTTTGCTCTGCCTGGATACCTGACCCACAGAAAGTGTGAAATATGCTGACATAATAGATGCAAATAATAAATGGGCTGTTTTAAGATGCTGCAATGTGGGATAATTCGCCACACAGCAATAGGTAACTAACACAGTGGCCAGCAAAAGGAACACATTTATTCTCTCTCTTATGCTCACCGCCAGGGGGCTCTTGGCTGCATATGTGCTGTTTGGAGGTAACAGAGAGTTTGCAGGCCTGAAATCAGGGACTTCCTCTGTAACTAAGGTAGTGCTGAACCCAGGGCCTTTGTACTGAACTATACTCTCAGCCCTAGTTTTTTAAAAAAATCTTTTTATTTGGTACAGGGTCTCACTACACAGCTCAGACTCACAGTAATCCTCTTGTTTCAGTCTCCACAGCGCTGAGATTACAGGCATGTGCCACCATGCCTGGTTTCATTGGCTGGCATGGCACGACGTGAGTTATGGGGCCAGCCCGGAATGTGATATTGGGGATTGAACCCAGGTCCTTGGCGCTTGCTAGGCAGGCACTTAGACCGCCGAGCTATCTTCCCAGCCTCTTTTTTTTTTTTTAAGAGAATAAAAAATATTTTTACAAAAGGATTAGAAATGATACAGAAAAAAATAATCAGAATTCCCCAACCATTATATTGCACATTGTTGTCTTCAAATTAGTTGTTCAGATTATCAGATATAAACATGTAAAATTGGTCAAAAAAGTTATAAAAAATTAAAAAGGAGAAAAAAATAAGCATTAACTGCTGCTTTCAATAGACCAGCAGAAATCAGCATTGCAACTATCCAAGCTATCCTGTATGTATGCATACCTATTTTTTCCCTTCCTTCATTCTTTCCTTTCTCTCATCCCAATTTTTCCTTCCCTTCGAGCAGATTTTTTTTCCCTTTCAGAGTATGTATTATGTCTTTCAGATTTTATTTACTCTTTCAGGTTCTTATATAGTGAGACAATATGATGTTTATGTATGAAGGTCTGATTTATTTCACTTATAGGTATGGTCTCTAGTTGCATCCATTTACCTAGAAAAGCCTCAAGATTTTCATTGTGTAAAAACACCACATCTTTTTACTCATTCCTCAGTTGATGGGCATTTGAGTTGTTTCCAAGATTTAGCTCTGACAAAATGTGCTGCTGTAGACATGGGTACACATATATCGCTGTGGTATGTTTCGTTTATAAATTTTGTATTATATTGAGACAGAGTCTCATTCAGTTACTAAGTTGTCTAGGCTAAGCCTGAACTTGTGAGCCTTCTGCCTTAACCTTTGAAGTGCACCACCGTGCCTGTTTAAAAAATGTTCTAACTTCATCTCTGTTTTCTGTGCTCCAGGCTCGTCTCTAGCCACTGACTGCCTCCTACTTTAGATAGCAGCTACACTGAAGACTCGTCAGTGTTTTCTTCGTGAGCTAAGCCGGCCTCCTGTGTTGAGCTTCCACATGTGTTCTTTTGGTTTCCCCTCCCAGAACATCCTGATCTGTTAAGACTTAACTCAGATGATCACACTTTTCATGATTCAATCACTATTTATTGACCGCCTGTGGGTTCTGTATCGGTTAGGATGCAATTGCTTTTAAGTACCAGAAGTACAACAGCAGGGCTCAGAGTCCATTTGTTCCTCACATAACAAAAAGCGTAGTGGTAGACAGCTGGCGACTGCATCATGGGCTGAGAGCTCGGAATTTACCCCACAGTCACAGGATTACTGCTCCAGCTTCAGCCACCAGACCTCAGTCACTGCATACCAAAGGAGCAAGCAGGTAGCTCTACTAGACTGGTTGCCCCTCGTAATCAGAGCTCAACCCTATTTCAGAAGCTGTGCTGTAGATTCTGCTTTTGTCTCACCGGCCAGATCCACAAGGGAGGCTGACAGTCAGGTATGTAGCCTTCAAGCTCCTCCAGTAAGAAATGTCAAGAGAAAGGGGGGTGGGCATTGGATTAGTTAATCTGCAGTGGCTGGCACAGAGGTCAGGATATGGAGCTGAGCATATAGAAGGCTGCTGGGATGGCATCTGTGATACCCACCTTAGGTCAGCTGATTTGTCTCTAGTAAGTCACATACCACTGTCTGTTGTTAAAAAAAAAAAGCTCATTGTGTGTTTCCTACACCCCAGCCAGTGAGCCATGTGGTAAGATTACGACGGTGGGATTTCTGTGCTGAGATTTCAACTGTAAGTACAGCCTGGCCCAAGGCAGGGCTCAGTGGAGGCTAAAGCAGGGCACTGGCCAGCTGGCCCGTAGCCCTGCCTTCTGGTAGAGGAGGGGCCTAATGCAGAGAAGTTGTTGTGGAGTATCCTGAGCTACAGTGGGGAAAGTAGGCGCTCAGCCTAGGCTTAGCAGCAGTGCTCCCAGCTCCATTCGAGGCAGCAGTAACACCCCCTCCTGCTGCTGAAAGCAGAGCAGGAGATGCTAGCTTCTTCCTGGAGTGGGGGTGGAGGGGTTTACGGAGATGTTATTTGCCAGCTCTGTGGAGCTATTCACAGGAGCAGCCCCCTGCAGAGTGCATTGAAGAAGGTGGCTGTTTTTCACAAGTATTTTGAAGTCTTTCAATGTTCTATTTCATTTTGACAAAAATCTAAATGTTTAGAGCTACAGAAACTTGGAACTGAAGCACCTCAGGTAACCTGGGGTTGTGATCCATTTTCCCAAAAGTTTCCACAAACTATACATTTGGATGTTTGAATGGTGGCATCAGTGGCAGTGAAGTGTGATGCTGAGAAGACAAAATGACCTGTTATGTGTCTCACTTTGCTTTCAGTCCTTCCCAGTCACATGTCAGGCTGGAGAACCAGCACATGCACAGTGCAGGCTCAGTGACGAGGGCAGTGCCCACCGCCGCCCTCTGTGTACTTCAGCTGACTCCACTCTGTGCTCTCCCACACAAAAGCAGAGAAACACAAAGCTAGGGCTGTAACGGACTCACCCCAAGGGTCTACCAGGAGAAAAAACGGAATTTGGGTATGAGCTCAAACTTCACCAGACACGAGGCAAGATGTGCATGATAAACCATCTAATAATGTCTAGCAAGATGAGAAAGTACGGGGGACTGCGATTGGTGGCTTATCAATGAGCATTTAACGGAGGCCCACAGAATGGGCAATAATCACTGCTGAAGGATTTAACAAGTTGAGAATCTCTTCCTGGAATTTCCTTCCTATTACACTGGAGACAAAGCTCTCCCGGGCCGCCCCTGGGCTGTCCTGCCTCTCCACCTTACACCACCCAACTTACCAGTCAGCTACCCAACATTCCATCTATCTCCTCTGCTCTCCTCTGTGGACATGGTCACAAAATGCCTCCCTCACCCCACCAGCCTGCAATCCACCTTCAGTTTTCTCCTTGGGCTATTTAGCCTTTCCCACCATGCTAATGCTGCCCTGTTACACAGGACTGCTTTCTTCTCATCAACCCCAGAACTGCCATTGATTTTTATGCTGTGCCTGTCCCCCAAGTTGAAGGAAAATCCTAACAGGTAGGTTCCTGATACGATTCCTCCCTGTCCCCTCACCTCCTATGACTGTGTCTAGCACAACCTAGGTGTTGAGAAAATGTC